TCAGCCTGGTATAAATAGCAAGCCTGGGTCAGGATGAGCAGAGTCCATAATTTGAGAGACCTGGAAGCTCTGCAGCAGGTTCTTTGGAAAGGAACTCAGTAGGGCAACCCCTGTGTCCTGAGCCTTCCTCTTCCATATCCAGGGGCACTGGGGATGCCCATAATAGGACTTCAGTCCACAAGGCATTTGCTTTTGGAGTTATCCATGCCCAGGTTTGCCAGATAAACTACAGAGAAATTTGAATTTCAGATAAACAATGAATACTTTTTAGTATAACTATGCCACAAATATGGCATGTTTCAAATATTCTTTAAAATTTTTTTTATTTGAAGTGTACATTTAACTGGCTGTCCTATATTTTTATTTCTGAAATACAGTGATCTTATCTGTGCCAGTGGCAGATTTTTGAGTGCAGAAAGTTGCTTTCCTTTATTGAACAAAAATTTATTGATTGTCTATTATGTGGCAGACACAAGCCTAGAGGCTAGGAATGTTCAGCGAAAAGATAAACAAAACCTTTAACTTTCTGAAGCTTCTGAAATGGTGTGCGTGTGTGTGTGTGTGTGTGCGTGTGCGCATGCTTGTGTGTGTTGGGGGGTGAGTTGAAAGGGAGAAGGAACAGATGCATAAATCTAATGATTTCAGGTGGTGACCTGAGGGGAAATGTGATGAGACATGTAATCAAGGATGATGATGGGTGATGGGGTAAGCACTTTACCTAGAGTGTCTAGTGTATTTGAGATGACATTTGTGAAAAACCGGGACCAGAGTTTTAGACAGCTTAAAAAGTTAGCAGATGGGGGACCAGAAAGGAGGCAGCTGAGAAAGAGCAAGAGAGGAAAGAGCAGATGTCGGTGAGGCTGGGAAGTAGGCAGAGGGTTTATATGGCATCACATCACTACCTTTGGTAAAGCCCTGGAGAATGGATTTTCCAGGGACAAGAGCAGAGGCAAGGGGATCTGTTAGGGAGCTATTGCAGTGGTTCTGTAAAAGAGGATGATGTTTACAGGAGGTAGTGGCAGCATTGCAGATGGGAGAAGTAATGGGCTAGAGATACAGTTTTATGGTCTAACAGACAGGACTTACTGATGAATTGGTTGTAGAGAAAAGGGAGATGAACTCTTGCAGACACTTCTAGGCTTGGGGAAGTGACTTAGTGTTCTCAAGAGCAACCGTTCCCACATATCGTGCCATGGAAAATCATATTTGTATGGCATGTGGCTGGGAGGGGGTGGCTCAGGGATTCTGGACACCCCAGACACACACGACCCCTCTAAGACCATCTCAGCAAGATTGTAACCCACTCTTGGCAGTTTATCTATCAGTAAGCTCTGCTTTGGGGAAGAATCTCCCAGTGCGAGCCAGGTGTGTGCTGTACAGAGCCCAATGAGAGATGGGGAGGCATGCTACGGAAATGCATTCCTCAGGCATCTGCAATCAAAGATTTCAGGGTTAGGACAGAGTTTAGAAACAATCTTGCCCAACCTTCTCCCCTCCCTCTTTACATAGAAACTTACTCATTTATTCAATTTATTAAGTACAACAAAGTTACTCATTTAATTATTACATTTATTGAGGTCTAAGCGCACACTCGGCTATGTTAAGTGCTATGGGACCGGACTACTCTAGTGTGATTGGTGGACAGGCACAGCAGCTTCTGACCAGAGGATACAGAGAGAGAGCAAATTACTCTCATAGCAATTGGATATCCAAGCTCTCTCTCTCTCCCTCCCTCCCTCCCTCCCTTTCTTCCTTCATCCCCTTTTTCATCCTTCCTTCCTTCTCTTTTCAGAATTAATTCATTTTCGTTGCCAAAAAATATTAGTTCAAGGTAGACCAACATCACCAGAACCAGAAACTTCCGTGGTGGAGACTTTTGTGCAAGAGTTACATCTAAGGCAGTCACATGAATGCCTGGGCCAGCTGCTTCCCCTCATTTCCTTCTTGTCTCCTTCCCATCATAAGCCATTAGATGGCCTCAGAGATTTCAGAAACCCTGTTTTATATTTTATATCTTCTGCCCTGATACAAAAAGATGATTCTTATCTTGGGTTTTAGCCTTTTGTTTTTCTGTAAGTGGATTCATTTGTTCACCTTTCTCTTGTTCTGTACCCCATTCCCCCTTCTATACCCTGTTTCCCTTTCTCTGATTTTGAGGACTTGGCCTCTATCTCTGGTACACTTGGTTTTTCAGTCATTCTCTGCTTTAAAGTTTTGTAGTTTGTCCTTCTCTTTTCTCTCCCCTTGAGTTCCTCTATGCTGAGATTGCTGTCCTCAGTCCCTGTGGAATGCAAAATTCACGGTTTTCTTTTTTTCTCTTCACAGATAAGGGCACACTGTGTGACAAATTGATCCAGAATCCCTTGGACCAGATGGTGGCAAGTGGCAGTGAGACAACATTGCTCTACACTTACAGTACTGGATACTCGGATCCAGATTTATACTGGTACCGAAAAGTGCCAGACGAGCCCTTGCAGTTCATCCTTTTCAGGGATAACAGCAGGTCCCTCGATGCAGATTTTGTTCAAGGTCGATTTTCTGTGCAGCATAGTCAGATCCATAAAACCTTCCACTTGGTCATCTCCCCCTTGAGGACTGAAGACTGTGGCACTTACTACTGTGCTTTAAGTCCCCACGGTGATGCAGGTGCTTGGAAAGTCTTCACACAAACCCCTGGCCACAGCTTGGCAGAGCCATCTCTTTGGGGAGGTTATGTCCTGGACCTGGTTTCCTTCTCGCAGTCATCTGGGGAGCTAGCCTGGCCTTTAGAAGTGCCCTGAAGTGATTACTGACTAATCAAAGGCCCACGAATATCCAGGGAACACTTTGGCTTCCAAAGAGGGGAGTATCTCCCACTTTTTACTCAGCAGGCCCTTGCCTCCTGAGTGCCTTGTGGTTGGAAGGGAAGGATGCAGGGCTGAGCAAGCATTGACTTTGTGTCCCCACATCTGTGCTGTGACAGCCATGAGGGTATCATAATGGTGCAGGTGAAAGGCTACAAGTACGAGTGGCCAGTGACAGGGTCTTTATTAGCCCTTTATTGGCCACCATCAATTATGCATTATTGTGAATTGACCTGTTTTCATCTTTCACATCAAACTGGACACAAAGTTAGAAATTAAAAAACATTTAAGAAAATAAAAGAATACTTTCCAATTTACCTTCCGCCTGCATCTTATATTTAGTGACCTTATTTCTCCTGGATGTTCTCTGATGCCTCGCCTTCACTTACTTTACCTGGAGTACATTTTCCTTTCCCTGAAGAATACTGAGGCACTCCTACATAATCATCTGTGAACGTCAGAACCCCAGTTCTCCGGGCTCCACATTTGGAGTGCAGTGGTGTCTCCAGAGGGAGTCATTTCCTCCAGAGGAAACCAACTGAGTGATGCTGAAACAGATGCACCTTGGTCCCCTGGCCTCAGTTCTCTCTTCCTTTTCTACTCATTTCTCTGCCTTAGCAGACTATTAGAGTTATTAGACACAATCTTGGAAACAGAAGAGACACCAACATTGTTTTACAGGAAATACACTGAAGACCAAGGAAGTGAAGGATAGATTCAGAGCCTGGTTGGGACTGGAGCGAGGGGTTTGGTGCTACACTTCCACAGCTCTCCTGGCTGCTGCACCCCAGGAGGTTTTATCCATAGGAAGTCCGGGTAGCAGTTTATCTGCACACCAAAAACCATGTTGTAGCCATGCCTGGTGGTATACACCTGTAAGCCCAGCATTCTGGCAGCCTGAGGCAGGAGGATTCCATTACCCAGCTTGGAGAACTTAGTGACTTAGTGAGACCTTGTCTCAAAATTTAAAAAAGGGCTGGGGATGTACCTCAGCATGAAGGTCCAGTGTTCAGTCCCCAGTAACCCCCCTGCCCCTGAAACTGTGGTTGGAGAGCCATCATAGGGAACAATGGAAGGACCATGGCATGAGGGAGCCACAGGACTTGGGCAAGTAGCCCAGACTCCTGGAACTGCTGTTCTGCCACCTACTGTGTCACGCAGCCATACATGGTCCCAAGTGTAATGGCCCCAGATCTGAAGGAAGCCAAATCACCCCTAGTTCCTGCCTAGATCTTTTCTGGAGGCTCATTTTGGTGGAAGAAATTAATGGTTCTCTGATGTGCTAGGATGTTTGAATGCTGGCACGTGGGGCAGAGGGGAGCTCATTTGCTGCTGACTATAGGACAGTCCTGCTGAAGTTCAGTCCAGCTGATTGGCACCATCTTTACTTTGGAGATGTAGTGTGCTCTTAGAGCAGGAACTTTGGCCCAATACTCTTGAGGCCTTGGTTCTGTTTCTGGCAATATCCCTGCTTCAATGAATAACTTTAGACAAGGTGTATACTTTTTGAGGGGGGGGCAACTTTTTCCAACTGAAAATGAAAATGTTTTCATTCCTAGCCATTTTAGAGAAACATTCTAATGTAACAAAAAGGAACAGAAAACAGTGTTTTGGAAACAGGCATTCTTTACACATGCAAGGTGAAGTTGTATGGAATTGTTTTCCCCTGGGTGGAACTCGCTTATCCATGTAGATTATCCTAAGCCCAGGATTCACTGGTAGAGGTACTGCCATCTTTCACTGGGCTGTGAAGATGCCATGTGGGAGTTTGCAGTCAGTGGTGGCAGGGGAGTTTGTGATAGTTGCTTTCTCACGTGTAGTGTCATAACCTCCTGCTTGTCACCTCATGGGAGCTAAGGAAACCACAATGTGGGGTTGCTAAGGCCCTCTTCCGCAGCAGGGGCACCTGAGGAGAGCTGTGGCCTTGCTGAGGTGGGAGTCACAGGATCCAAGCTGCACTGAGCTGCTGTTTATTACCATAACAGTAGCAGCCACAGAAAACCAAAGCTGTGTCCCTGAGGCGGGAGCCTCAGGCTTGGGCCTCAGGAAGCCGCAGTGTGACCTGTAAGCTCAGTTTGGCTTTTGGCTGAGTAATATGAATTCACAGAGCTGACTTTCCCCCTACGGTGGTTCGAAATGAGTAAAGCCAGAGGAGGGGTGCACACAGTGCAGTTTAATAAATGCAACAGAGACAAGGGCTAAGAAAGAAGGCCTAAAACCATCAACATCAAGGGCCCAGGCAAAAGAATCTGTGTCCAGTGATCTCTAACTCCCTGTGTACAGATTGGCAGGTGAAAGACAGTAAAGATACTGTTTTTATGGGGAAAGATGGAAGCCTCATTTCTCTCCCTTCCTCTAAAAGTGCTTGCACAGTGAGTTGCTTGAAAATGGGACCCATGTCCTGTTCTTCTTCTCATCCTCAGTACAGTGTCTGGGACTCAGAGTCAGTTGATGCATGTTAAACCAATTAACTTTCCTCTGTATTTCACTCTGGTCTTTTCTAATAGAATGGGCAGTGCTTAGATGAGATTTGAGAAACCCCATTGCCTGGTTGGAGAGTATTAGGGCAGTGATAAGTAATTTTGTGAAGTACTAGGAAAAGCTGAAAGTGCTAAAATTGTCCCTCTCTCCCACGTTGCTGTTCAACATCTCTAGTGTGGCTGTGGACTGGACATAGAGGCTGGGACAAGCCATGGGTCAGGAGGATGAGGGAGGCTGCTGGATGCATCTAGAGCTGGGTGGGGCAGAACCTTCCTCATGTAGATGAAAGGACCTGCTCTCCTCTCCTCCTCTCAGGGCCAGCTTTCCTCATGGAGATTGGAGCAGGGTACCTGTGAGTTCCCACGTCCTACTTTGGGAGAGAAAGAAAGTGAAAAAGAATGAAGGATTATTTGTCAACGTGTATCAGTTGTAGGAGTAAAATAAAATGGGCCCTATATTTTTATGTCCATCCATCCCTTTATAAAGCAGCACATAAAGTAGTTAGGACCTTAACCCCCCACTGCCCAGGACCCAGGATGTTTGTTTTTCTGCCAGACTAGAGGATGAGCGGGGTTTGCTGCCTTTAGAGAAAAACTGATTTGGTTAGCAGCCATTTAAATAGAATGGTGACATGTCGATTTGAATAGCCAAGAAGTCAGAAGCCAAGGAGACAACATCTTTTAAACTTTTGGTTTCCATCAGTGAGCGTAGCTTCCTCATGTCAGTCAGCCTGCAAGTGGAGGAAAGTCGTTACAGAATCAGACCTAAAGGCTAGAAGGAGTTGTAGGGCTGATGTTGCTTGGGATGGTCAGTATCTTCTCTGCTGTACCATTGTGACTTGACAAATCAGTTGTGGCACCTGTCCCTTGTACATATGACAATAGTTCAGCTCTCAGAAGTCTGCTATTGTTGGCACAAGTCATGAAACCCATTTGCTCTCCTGTGGGTCATTCTTTTTTTTTTGTACCAGGGATCGAACTCGGGACCTTGCGCTTGCGAGGCAGGTGGCAGAACCACTGAACTAATTTCCTGGCCCTCCCTGTGGTCATTTTTAAACCCAGCCCAGAGAAGAGAAGCAATCTGGCTAAGGTAGCATAGTGAGTTAATGACGAAGTGAAGACTAAAACTTAGATCTCTGACTCCTTGCATAGCACTATTTGTACAACCATACTGCCTGTGCTCCAGGACTGTTAATAAAGTGGCAGGTGGAGCTGGACACCCGTTTGGAAATGACTGGGTATGTTTACAGTCTGGGTTGACCAGTCCTATAGTCCATCATAGAGTTGTTCCTAGAATAGGAGCTGGGCTTGATGGGTATTTGAGGGCCCTTGAAAGGGAATGAGGGGGAGGAGCTTCATAGGCCCTGGTTTGAATTCCATGTACAAGATTATCTGGAAATGAAATGCAAGTAACAGGAAAACAATTAACATCTCTGTCCCATCTTTGTATGTATCCTGAGTAGCTAATGGGGCTGTTCAGTGCTAATGTTCATCCCTAGGACTGGCTGGTCCATACATCAGGACCTTATGATTAAGGAATGGGATCTGGTATTCCCTTTATCTGAGCAAAGATGGGCTCTGCATCCTCTAACTATTCTTCCAGAAAAGCTTTTGCAAATAACCCACTGTCTTTTGGACAAATAAACAAAAGACCCATTAAAGAAGACTGATTCTCCTTATTTAGTTTTGGTTTTCTCCTTGGACTGGAGGTGGTGGTTATTGCCTGGTAGATTAGAAAGAGCGTACCTTATAGTACATAATGAATTTTGTGTCTGGCTTAAAATAAAAGAATAATAGGATGTGGGATGCTATGTCTGAGATAGCCCACCTTGTTCTAAATGTGTCTCCATGTGTGTTTTTCTTTTCCAAATGCTTTTTGGTTTCTTACTATTTCTTTCTTTCTTTCTTTCTTTCTTTCTTTCTTTCTTTCTTTCTTTCTTTCTTTCTTTCTTTCTTTTTTTTGTGTATGGGGGATTGAACTTGGGATCTTGTGCTTGTGAGGCAGGTGGTGGAACCACTGAGCTAAATCCCCGGCCTGGTTTCTTACCATTTCTAAACCTCTTTTCCCCATGTACAGCATAATTTGGGTGGATATAAGACTAAACAGCAGCTATTTCTTACCTTAAAAGAAAAATAACTTGGCAGTCAGGACAAAATTGATGGCAACACTCTTGACAAACAGCATTCGCAGCCCAAGCACTGTGAGAGACATCATGTTCATCTTCAGGGAGTAAACTATGGTTGAACAAGAGTGAAGACGATAACTTCAGGGAAAGATCAAATTCCTTTCTAGAAATTAGGCTTACAACACTGACATCAGCCTGCCCCAGATCACCATGCTTCTCCTGGCACACCCAGCTTGGTGCCAGGTAGCACTCAGAGACCTAGGGGTGCTGCTTGCACCTGGTGAGCAAGCTTTGGAAACACATGCTTGCAGCCAGGTGAGCTCTGCTGGTACAGTCAGGGGCTAAAGAGGACCAACCGGACTCAGTATGGTTTCTGTTTTCTTTTGAAATTGGATTCTTTTTAGCCTCAGTTTATAACTACTAGGCTTTATCCCTTAATTCTAAACTTCATCCTTTGATTTGAACTAACCTTTTGGTTCATGGCAGCTCTTTTCAGTTTGTGTCATGTTTGTAGGTTCTATTTGCCTTAGAACATCTGAAACAAACAGCAGTGGTCAAAGATATGTTGACAACCAGGAGATGCAGGATTTTAGGATTTTAAAACTAGAGGAGACTTTAGGTAAGGAAAATGAGGACCAGAGGATATAACTTAGGGTCACATAGCTGTTTATACAGTTAACATGCTTTGTGGTCTGGACTTTTTGGGTACCATGAAGCTATTTACATCCAGACTTGTAGACAGAATTAGGATTCTTAATCCCATCATTGGTGAGCTGCTCTTTCATTTGGACTAGACTGTGCATGAATTTTCAATGCCAGATTCTAGTAGTAGGATGGTCATTTGTATGAAAGAGACAATGGCTGGTGAAGGGAAGAGATGGGGATGAAATGAAATGGGCTTTATTTTAGATTCCATCTACGGGTGCAGGCCATTTCCTTCCCAGTCATTGATGAAGACCCTAAGGTTTTTCTTTTTTTTCCAGCATGATGCTAAATTGAGAATGATTTACCCAGAGCTCACATTTCTACTTTCTCTTTCCCTCAAATTTCCTTCCTCATATTCTCCAGTCCCTTGAAGTCAGATGATACCTACCAGATGAATTTGTCTTTATTTCGAAGTCAGTGGAGCTCACGGTTTCATTATTGAGTTGAACTGAACATGTTACTGAATTTGGATCTTCATACTGACCAAGCTTGACAGCACTGTACTTCCCGCTGGGAGAGATGACGACAGCAGGGTCAAATTCTACTACCTTCTTAGATGACCTGAGATTTATATTTACACTCTTGGGATAGAAATCCTTCACCAGACAAGCAACCTTTGTTCCATTTTTCATGACAAAAACGGATGGTTTGGAAGGAGGCTGAATTCCTGCAAATATAATCAAATTATTTCATGAGATGATTATAGCCTTATGGGGGTTTAACAGTGGTGATTATCTCAATTCTTCTGGGGCCAAACAGTACAATCTAGAACTCTCTGTATCTTGTTAGTGGCCTGGCCTTATTAGCATCAAAGAATAGCCATTCCCAAGGTGAGCAGAAATGAAGGGCAGTTAGTTTGACTTCTAGTTTTTAGAAGGTACTAAGAGGTGGGGTGGAAGCAGAGACAGAATATAACAACTACAAAGAAGTTTCTGGATCAGCTGGGTTTCAATTTTCTATGATTTATTAATCAGTCCTCCGGACAACTGAGGCCAGGCTGCATATCTGTCTGTACCAGTTGGTTTAGTTTAAATACATGGTCTCTTGGGGAATGATTAGGGTAGTTGCTCATGCTTTGCATTATGCCAATTAAAGAACCAAGGATCAGAAAAGGTCTGCAAAATTGATTCAAAGGCTCTGAGGATGGCAGTGTTACAGTCACTGCACGGTGTCATCTTCATTTCATGGACAGAAGGGATTGACTGAAGTTAAGCAGTATATCACTTTGCCATTAGGTGAATACTTACTCTTTCGTAGGAGCCTGGCTATTGTACAATTTCCCTTGGGTCTTTGATCAGAGGAATCAACTATCATTCTCAGAAAGTACTCATAGATATAAAGCCAGTTTAAGCCCATATCTTCCTGTTTTACTCTAAGAGGAGTTGTGGGACGTTGGTCCTAGTAATTGCATCCCCCACTGACTTTGTCTTCTGTCATGCTTTACCTGGAACTATCATCTATCTGCTACTTTGTATGCATCTTTCTCTCTCCTTAAAACTGAAAATAGTGAAGCTTTGAGAAAAGTAGTAATGATTTTTTCACACTGTGTTTTATTGAAGTTTCTGAATTGTAATAAATTTTGTGTCCAAGGAGACTAGGATTCTCAGGCTATCTTCAAATGATTGCTAAAGAAAGAGCCTCACTTGAACCTGAATCAGGAGAGACAATCAACCTGTGAATGGTGGTTTGGATATAGCTCCAGTCGTAGCTTCATTTCTGATTTTCAACCTTTTTTCTTTCTGATTTTCAAACTTAATTTCTCCTGTGAACATGGCTCTTAATATTTATAACTGAAGATTTTGGCTTCTTGGTATGACATGAAAAATATGCTGAATTCTAGCGTGCTTTATCTTCGATGGTCTACAATCAAGATATTAGCTGCTACTAAACAGAAGGTTTGGTAATGAATGTGTAAACAGAAAAGAAATGATATTTCTAATGCTTTGCCCTGAGTCTGGGTTTCAGGTTCAGCTGTGAGGCTCCTGGTAATGCAGCTATCAGCAAAGCAGTTGGTTATAGCTGGTTGAGAGAAGTGATTTTTAGTCAAGAAGTTCCTGCTGATCACCACTCTGTAAATAGGCCACGGCTGATCAGGGCTTTCCCAGAGAATAAGATGTTCAGAGATGCCCCCTTATCACTACCAATATAATTCTCCATTTTTTTTTTTCTGCTCCGAGATGCTCAAGCAAAAGATTGGATTCTGTTCCAGTCACTCAGGGCAGGAAAATCCTTCCCCAGAATCAGACTCCTTGCTTTGGCTTTAGCTCTAGATGAGAGGGGCTATTTTTTTCCTTTTCCTCTTCCAAAGAGTTTTCCTGGAACCTGCTTTAAACCTGTGTGAGAAAACCCTCACTGCTTTTTTTTTTTTTTTTTGCACAGCTGAAGCAGAAGCTGAAGCAGAAGCTGAAGCAGAAGCTGATAGCAGAAGCTGATAACCTCGGCATTAACGGCTGGAGGCCATGTGCCTTGCCTACTCATCTTTCCTCACAACTGTGAGATTTCTTGTTCACCACCCTAGCTTTGGTTTATGATGGGTTATGGTTGATATTCAAGGCAGTTATGAGTTAGAAAAGAAATTCGTCCCTGAAACAACAACAACAACAACCAAGACCACAAAAAAACAAACTTCATAACAAGAGCAAAAACCTTAAGCCCTATCTGCTTGGATATTTAAGAGTAAAATATTTAAGATATTTTAAACTAAATCTGGTCTGATTTAGTGGGACAATTAAGGCTTGCTTTGGATTTTGAAATCTAAATTCATCAGGCAGTTTTCAATGATTACTTTGGGCAGGGGAAATTGGTTTCGAATAATTTGAACAGTGTAACATAGCTGAAGAGACAGATGTTTGAAGAAGTTCAGGCACTTATGATATTGAGCTCTGAATCTATTAGTCAGCATATCAGAAAGAGCATAATGTACTGATTTCATAAAACACTTTTCTCAGATCTTGTTTTTAATGTCTATGTATTCAAAGCAATTGAAAGAAAAGTATTTTATTTAATCTATTCTTTGGCATCATGGTAACCAAAAAAAAAGGCTGATTGAAATGAATCTTCCTTCTTTCTTTTTCATAAATATAATCCATGCAATGTGGTTGCCATACATATCCTAGTCCATTTTATATTTGACTTAGAGCCAAATTTAAAGTTGTGTAAAATTTAAAACAATATTTAAATCTCAGACCAGATTTAAATTAAATTTTAATTGTTTATCTTTTGAGAATAGTCTGTCTTCTTGTTATATGAATATAATTAAATTTTAATATGTGTTTTGAGTGTATTTGTTTGGACATTTAGTTTACTTTTGGACTCTCTCTTTTTATGAGTACTACTATGATGTTAAAATTATATGCTGGTAAAAAAATACAAAACAATTTGTTATATCTCTCCTGATCAGTCTTTCTTAATTTATAAGCTTGGATATCATCTATTTTAGATTCATTTATATAATTCTACTGGTCCCTTAATAATTGCAACATCTATAATAAATGTCAGTCAGAATTTTAAGACTCTCTTCCAATAAGGGATTTTTAAAAAAACAAAATTTCATTTTATTAGTACATTTTAGGTATACAATATAATGACATTCATCATTGGAAATTTGCACCTTTACATAATCTCTCTTGGTTCTTATTTTTCCCCT